CCCGCCGCCGGGTCGCTAGCCCAGCACACCCGTGGAGAACGCTGCGGACGACCCCGCTCCTGAGCGGAAGGAGAGCAGCCCTCCACAGCCCTCCACGTGCAGGTTTGTTCCGGCTCCTGGGGCAGTAACTTCTCCGGCCACTTGGTGGCAGAACTGAGCCCCATTCTTAGAGATGAACCAGAATTCAGAAACACCAAAATCGAGTCCAGATTGTAAAATATATGCAAAGGCCATGGAAATATTTGAGGAAAGCAGTACCCTTTAGGCGTTTCTGTCTCCAGGAGCCCCCTTTGTGTCTGGATGTTCTATTTGTTACACGCGGAGAAGCGGTAAGTGCGTGTTTAAACAACTGGTGCTTTTAGGCTGCAGAGCATGGAGCCCACTGAGGCCGCTGAGCTCCTAACATGACCTGCGTGTCCAGAGAGGGTAAGGCTTCCCCACCCAGACAGTGAGAAGTCTGTAGTGTTATCTTTGGGCAAAGATGATCCAAGCCTGCTGATAATGCGAGAGCTCAAGAAATGTCTAACTCCAAGGTATAATTGCTGATTTTCACATGCTAGGGGTGACCAGGTCGTCATCCATATTATTACAAGCTTGAACAAAGAGCCCTAGGGCTCCAGCAGGATCTCTGTGCTGTTCAATCTTCCAGAACAGCTGGTGTTCCATATATACACATTTCTGTTCACCAGGGAGGCACTGCAGCTCCATCTGCTTGAAAAATGCATCAAAAGAGCCTGCACTCGGAGTTGTCAACACATCTCAGGAAGGTCATTCTGGGTCTTCCTATAAAGCATGTCCCATCAGCGGCAAAACAAAGCCAACCCAGCCAGGAACTTGAAGGCATCCTGGGTCAGGCCCTACAATTTTTGAAAACTTGATGGGTAAATTGCCCTGACATTTGAAAGGGGCATTAGTTTCTATTTCACGTGCAGTGGAAACTTTCATTACTCTGTTAGGGTAGAGTATTCCAGCATTCCAGGGAAACAGAATTGTCCTCTATCTCACTGGGTGGTTGAGGAAACAAATCATTTCATATGTGGAATTATAAATAGCCATTTCATAGGGCACAGGCTCAGGTGTGTGCAACATGCAACTGTATCTTCCTCTGGGTGCCTCTGAGCCCTCATTTGTAAAATGAGAATTATATTCCTACCTCTGAGATTATCATGAAGATTAAATGAACTAATGTAAGGAGGCATTTTGCCCTGGCTTGAGTATTGAATAAAGCTTAGCTATTACACAAAGTTAAACACGCACACACACACACACGCACACGCACACACATTTAAATTCAATCTCAAGCTCATTTCAGCCAGCAGCAAAAACTCAGTCCTCCTCAAATGAGAGGAAACCCAGCAATACAAAGTTCTCGTAGCAGCCTCAGAACAATGGCATTGGGACAGGACACTCGCTTTAGGTCTCCCTGTCTACCATGTCACCTGTCATTGTTCTTGGCATCTCTGCCAAAAGTCTCAAAGGCCTGTTTTGAAACCCAGTCTGAGCATGACCTAATTCTTTTCTGCATTCCTGCCGTAAGAGCCTGCTCTGAAGACAGGCAGCGTGGGCTGCCCCCACTGATGCCTGAAGAGTGAGGAAAGAAGCACATCAGCTAATAGCTCAAAATTATCCTGCCACAGTAGGAAGATGACCTTTTTGCCAGCACATTACAATTCCCATGGAGTGTTTGCTTATATCATCTATAAGCTGATGACCCTTCAATTGGCGTCTCCAGTCTGGACCCATCCCTGATTTACACTGGGCAGGTCCTAGAGAGGACTTTGACTCCCTCATCCCCTGTCTTCCCATCCCAGCCAGTTGTTCAAGCCAGAAACCCAGGACTCATCCCCGAGTCCTCTCCTTCCTTTTCCCCCCTCCTGTCTAATCCATCAACTGGTCCAGTTGGACCTACATCCAAAATTCACAGCAAGTCTGTCCCCTTCTCTCCGTCTCTGTCGCCACCAACCTGCACCCTAGTCCAAGCCACCATCACCCGTAGCCCGGGGCACAAAGAAATGGCTTCAGATCTGTCTCCAGGCTGCCCTCCTACCAGCAATAATTTATTCTCTACACAATGGAATGCCATACTGTGAATCACATCATGTTACATCCTAGCTCAAAACCCTCTGATGGCTTCCCTTTCTACTAGAAGCCTCCAAGCCGCTTGTCCTGGCAACCGCCATCTCTCTGACTTTCTCTCCTCACACCTTCCCCCGCCCACACACAGCCGCCCTGGCCTTCTTTTTGCTGTTCCCACACACCAAGTCATCTCTTCCTCAGGGCCGCTGTGCTGCTCTTTCCCCAGGGCCTTCTCTCGGTAGCTCGTCCGTCAGGACTTAGCACAAATGTACTCCGGCACTGACTACCTAAAACTAAACTAATCTCTTAAGTCACTTCGTATCACCTTATCCTGTCTATCACGTTGCTAACCATTTCCTGAACTTACCTTGCTTCTCTAGTTGTTTATTATCGTGCCACATTAGAAACACATGGCCTTTTATACCTACTATTTTACAGTTCCCACAGAACACACACACACACACCCCTACCTAAACTCCGTGGGAGCAAGGAACTTGTCAGGCAAAAATAAATATTTTTTAATGGATGAATTATTTTTGTTTGATATTCATATTCCTGTCACTCATTCCCATGCAATTCATGTGTAAGAATAAAATAAACTACTTTCAAATCTTTGAATCACAATATTCAATGATAAACTTCTTTGATTTTATGCAAATGATTCCCTCTGCTAAAAATGTTTTTTCTTTGTTTTTCTGATGAACTCCTATTCATCCTTCAAAACCCCATTCAGGCAAGGAGCACTCATAGGGGATGAGGGTGGGAACTGTTGAGGTGGCAAGATGGGAGTGTGCCACCACATTGCGTAGTCAGTGAGGCTAGAACCAGGGGCTTTAGGGAAGACTGGATTGGTATCTCTCCAGGTAAAATCCTGCCCTAGACCTGGAGCTCACTCTCTACGCAGTAATTTTTCCAGAAAGCCAAGAAATCAGCTCAAATATCTAGCAACCCACTCATCATCTTCATTTGCATGGTTTTTAGGCATCTCAAACTTAATATGTCCAAATAGGACTTAGGATGTAAAAGATAACCACATTCACCCAATTGCTCAGCCCAAAAGGTTGACCCCATCCTCACCCTCCTCCCCACCTCCCAGACATACCACATCCAACCTACCAGCACATCTGGCCCCTTCCTCCTGTCTCCCCCACCCTCCCCTGGCTTGCGCTTCATAATCTCCTGACTGTGCCACTGTCACGACTTCTAACTGTCTCTCTCACACTTGGCCCTCACCCTTCATTCTCCACCCAGCAGCCAATGCAGTCTTAGATCTTGGCTGGGCTTAGTGGCTCACACCTATAATCCCAGCACCTTGGGAAGCTGAGGCTGGAGGATAGCTTAGGGCCAGGAGCCTGGGTGATATATTGAGACTTGTCTCTACAAAAAAGTTTAAAAATTAGTGCGCACCTGTAATCCCAGCTACTTAGGAGGCTGAGGTGGGAGGATCACTTGAGCCTAAGAGTTTGAAGCTGCAGTGAGCTATCATCATGCCACTCCACTCCGGCCTGGGCAACAGACAAAGACCCTGGCACTGAAAAAAAAAACAAAAACCTTAGATCTTAGATCCTACTACCCTCTGCTCAAAATCCTCCAATGGCTTCTTATCATATTAATATTTAGAACCCTTGCAAAACCTTACCAAGCCTACAAGGCCTCCCTACATAATCTGGCCGCTAACTACTCCTCTGGCCTCATCTCCTACCACACTTCCATCTGCAGCACAGGAAGGAGGCTAAAGATACAGACTTGGGAGCAACTCTGCCACTCACCCGCTGTGTGATGTTGGGCAAGTTGCTTAATGCCTCTGTGCCTCAGTTTCCTTATCTGTGAAGCCAAAGTGATGATGATAATACTTTACTGAGCTGTTGTAAAATTAAAGGAGTCCTGAGAACAGTCTCCAGCCCCATGGCAAGCCTATGCACATGCTAGTGGTTTTAAGTAATTTGATGTCTTGAACCCTCAAATTTGACAAAACAAATTGAGTACAAAAAGATTAAGGAAGAGAATATAGTTGCGGGCTGTTATCGTCAAGTTTTAAATACACATTTTGATGAAGTCTTCAGTTATGTGCATGGTGGAATCTCCCTTTGCCCTTTCACCCAAGAGAAACCTGAGAGAGAATTAAGGTCTCGTGAGTGTTGGTAGCATCAAATTGATTTATAGGTTGGTTAGTTCTGGTTTTTTTTTTTTTAATTAATGGCCTGTTTAAAACTCACTTTTTTTCTTTTTTTTGAGACAGAGTCTCACTCTGCTGCCTGAGCTAGAGTGCCATGGCGTCAGCCTAGCTCACAGCAACCTCAAACTCCTGGGCTCAAGCAATCCTCCTGCCTCAGCCTTCCAAGTAGCAGGGACTACAGGCATGCACCACCATGCCCGACTAATTTTTTCTACATATTTTTAGTTGTCCAACCAATTTCTTTCTATTTTTAGTAGAGACGGGGTCTAGCTCTTGCTCAGGCTGGTTGCGAACTCCTGAGCTCAAACGATCCTCCCGCCTCGGCCTCCCAGAGTGCTAGGATTACAGGCATGAGCCACCATGCCCGGCCAAAACTCACTTTTTATTATTGGTCCCTGGCTTTAAATACATTCCCCTGGGGCAACCAGTCTTGGACTTCAAACGGAGTGTGAAGATGCAGGCTTGACTCACTCCTGGGAAGGAAAGAAACAGCACTGCCAAGAGCTGCTGGAAGGGCTCGTGGGCGGCGGGCCGGGCAGGTGAGGGTCCTGGTTGGTGCTCCTGGTCTGGCAGGGTGACTATAAATCACCTCGTATCAGGCTGCCGCTGTCAGCTTGGGTTTCCCCTGTCAGCCTGGGCTCCCCCAGGGCCAACAGGCTTCCAAGCAACTACTCTAACCTATCTGCTCTTTAAAAGAACAGAAAACAGAGCAACTCTATCGCTGCAAACGCATTTTTTCCTTGTCGAGATGCCTTCCCTTCCCAATTCTGATGAGCTCATTTTTTTTGTGAATGGAAGAAAGGTAAGTGTATAACATGATTAATATGAATTTTTATATACCAGGAACAAAAGCCAAACTGTTTTTTTTACTATGTTGCCATTTCTTATTTCTTTAACCTCTCTCTTCTTTTTTAGTCATATACAGTGGTATGAACTTAAACACGGGTCGTTCGTTCAAGTTTTAGTGCAAAATTATTAAAGAGTGCAGGGGCTTTTCTTGCTTTTTATTTTTCTTTTGATTCAGCAACTGTTTTATTTGTTATATTATGATGAAAGTGAATTCTGACAATTGGGCGCTTCAGGACACAGATGCGAAAAACTCACTTCCCTCCTTTATTTGGATAAAGCTCTATTTGAGCTCACCAGAGCTATTTTAGTAGAAGGTATATATAACATTGAGCATGATAATAGCAAAGAACTTGCACATGATTTTTTCTGGGCTTGATAAATTCCCTCAGGCTGATCAATTCACCTAGAGGCAACAAGTAGGCTGCTTTCCCCAGGACAGAAGACACGAGGCAACCCCAGTGCTTAGCCTGAGCCAGGCGTTCTCAGCCCTGTGCTTTAAAAAGCAAAACAAATAAATGAAAAGTTTGAAGCTCTTTAAGTCAAAATACACATGTAAATGTTTGAGACAACTAGAGAAAAACTAGTAAAATAATAAAGTAGAAAATTATTTTAGAAAGTAACTCGTAGTGTTTTTGCTTCTCAAGCCTCAGTTATATTAAATGACTGATGTTCTTTCTGAAGGAGGAGATAAAACTTTAATAGAAGCAAAAATTCTTGGGAGTTTTGCCTGTCAAATGGCAAGAAAAGGTCATTTTTAGGAAACCTATGAACTAATAAACAAAAAGTGAAAGAGAAAGAAAAGAACAAAGAAAGCCTGGGGTCAGTGACCTTGAATGACCTGAAGCCAACTGGAACGTCAGGAAAATACCTGCCCAATGACAGTTTGCAGTAATTCAAAAGCTAAGAGCTTTTCTGAGTGTGAGGAAAATGGTCTTTACTGCTTTGCCTTTGTTGATTAATAAAACTATTTATTCTTTAATATTATATTATAATAATCATTCTCTCTCCAGGACTGGAAACTTGAATTCAAAGCCAATATTTTGGTGTTTTTACTCCCTTCTCTTTTACAAATTTCTAAGACAAATGACAAATGGCAAAAGAGAGGAAAATATATACAACTCTTTGAAGAAGTTGTTGTTGCTGTTGTTGTTTTTCTTTCCTTTCAACCCAGGGGCACAGGTTGAGTAAAGCACACCCCTCCGTCAATGGCACACTGCCACCACCACAATCTGGACAAGCCACCACCATGATCTAGACAAGGCTCCACCACAGTCTAGACAAGCCACCAACACGATCTAGACAAGGCTCCACCACGATCTAGACAAGGCACCACCACGATCTAGACAAGGCTCCACCACGATCTAGACAAGCCACCACTATGATCTAGACAAGGCACCACCACGATCTAGACAAGGCTCCACCACAATCTGGACAAGGCTCCACCACGATCTAGACAAGCCACCACCACGATCTAGACAAGGCTCCACCACGATCTAGACAAGCCACCACCATGATCTAGACAAGGCACCACCACGATCTAGACAAGGCTCCACCACAATCTGGACAAGGCTCCACCACGATCTAGACAAGCCACCACCACGATCTAGACAAGCCACCACCACGATCTAGACAAGGCTCCACCACAATCTAGACAAGGCACCACCACGATCTAGACAAGGCTCCACCACAATCTAGACAAGGCATCTAGACAAGCCACCACCACAGTCTAATCTAGACAAGGCTCCTCTTTTGTTTCATATTATTTTATTTTCTCTTTTTATTATCTGCTCTTCTCTTTCTTTCCCTCCACCCTAGGCATCCTCTCTTGTGCATTTTAAATCTATATTCTTCCCATCTACCTTCTATATGGTTATTTAGAAATGTAAATGTATCCTCACAATACACACAATGTGTGTGCATGAGTGTATGTGTTCCTAACTTACACAAATTATGCTGTGATTTTTTTAAACCTTTTTGTTTCTTTTGTGATTCAGCACTGGTTTTGAGATCTATCCATGTTGCTCTTTGAAAACCTGGCAAATTACCTCTAAATGCATAGTTCTCCAGGCTGTACATATCCTTCCCTTGCCTACCCCGTGCAGATAGGATACTTCCAATTCCCCACTACCCCAAGACATGCTGCAGTGAACATCCTACAATGTGTCTCCTCACTGATACTGGCAAGAGAATCTCCAGGTGAGAGTGCAGCAGAGTGATTTCACAGGTCCTGCCTGGTGACTTTCCAGAATACCACACAAGTTACATTTCCCACAATTCATTGCACAACAGGTGCTGTTTCCTTGCCAGTATATGATATGCCAATGCTTGATACAATCAGACTTTGTAACTTTTGCTGATCTGAGGGGTGTAAAGTGTTGTCGCATTGTTGATTTTGTTGGCATCTCTGATTACTAGTGAGCTTGCTCCTTTTTCCATATACTTACTAAAAATGAATTTATTTCTTCAGCACAGCATTTTTCATATGATTACTGAAATATTTATTTTAAGTGGCTGGGAAATATTTATTTTAAGTGTCAGAATTGCAGTTGACAGCCAGCCTTTGATTAATTTCCCAAAGTCTAATCTTGCCTTTCTCTTTCTTCATTTGGAACGACGCCATATTTGTGCTCTTTGGGCCTAAGGCATTGTCATGACTGAAGGGGACAGCATTAAATCGGGTGTTGCACTGGTTGGGCTGCTAAGGTGATTAGGGAACATTTACTGTTTACCTGGAATGTTGTGTCAGGTAAACCAATGTCTTTATTGCACAGCCCAGTGTCATCGGGCCACGCTCCCCCAGGATGGGGGAGTCAGGAAGGAGGCATAGTGATCCTGGCCAGCCCATCATCATCCTCTATCCTCCATCCATTCCCACCTTGAAATAATTTCCACTGCTGCACAGTTATGGCGTTAAAGGCAATATAACTCCGATGCTCTGTGTCTGCAGCACCACTGTACTTGGTCCCCTCCGCACACTAAGACTTAGAGTGGAGGCCTGCTAAGCCCCTCTCTGGCTGAGTAAATCTTCTGAGGACTTGAACGGAAACTTGTAAATAGGAGGCATTGTAAAAAGAAATAATGTGGTTTGTTGCCTTCTTCTGAGGTTGTAAAAATAAAAAGACACTTTTAGTAAAATGATGTCCTTTTGGTGGGGAGGGGAGAGTCAGTGTTGCTACTCTTCCAGGTAAGTTTCTCTCCAACTTGCCTCCCTAATCTTGCCTGATCATACCCAGCAGAGGAACTGCCTGTGTCCCTCCAGGGCCAGGCAGGGCTGATGGCTTTCCTCTTGTGTGCCAGCTGCAGTCTCTTGGCAGTAGCAGCCTGGAGCTCCATGGGAGGGGCAGAGCCTCATGCACCCTCGGCTCTCCCTTTGCTCACTGGCACCTCCATTTCACTGGGGTAGGGGGGAGGCGAGTAGTGGCTCCTTCAGGACGTACCAATTAGTGGCAGAGGTAGGGAAGCAAAAATCCCTTGTTTTGGGAAATCATCTCTGGCTAATTTTTTTATGACTTTCTGTGGCCATGAGTTAATCTGAGTCAATTTTGGAATCTACGTATCTGTTCCCTATCTGGGCCCTTCCCAGGTAAGCCTGAGAGAAAACAATCCAGAATTTATAATTGTCATATATATCGGGACATTCAGAGACACTGAAATCTTGCTCCACTATTTCTTCAAAATTCTAGCTCCAAGTATTAGAAAAAGTTTTCGTCATTATTTTTTTCCCTGTAAAGCCACAGCCTATCAAAAACAGGCCCACAAACAATGGCTATAATTGCCGTACCACGCTGATGTTATCTTCCTAAAATCCCTTCCCTCTTCACAATGTAGGTAACAGAAAAGAAAGCTGATCCCGAGGCAAATCTCCTGTTCTACCTGAGAAAAGTCCGTATCCTTTCATTTTACTGTAATCGATCTGGATTGGGTGGTAAAACAGAACATGCTGGGACTTAGTAAGAAATTCTCCTATGCTTGTTCTAAATAAAAGACCTTGTGTTTTATTTGCAGAGTCTAGTTAGAGTTCAGAGAACGCATCAAGACGTGTTGATTCGTGCGCTATTTGTTGTATTTTTTTTACCTGAGCAAAACCAAAAGACTCATCCAGTGAACCATAAGTGTGCTCACTTGGGAAATAACTTTCTGACCTTTGAGCCCCATGGTCACCCTGATGGCGATTTCATATTCAGGAGTGTTAGGTAGAAACATCTAGCCAAACTTTTATCCAGCCAAATGTCCAGAAGTGCACGTCACTGACAATAGTGTCCCACAAGGACAGTTCACTGACTTGTCCTACACCTTTTTATAATCCTTATCAGAAAGAATAAAGCTTTATGAATATACTTCAAAACTCCAAAGTGTAACTAATGTGCTCCCAGCTCCCCGCCTCTGGTCTTGACTCCCCGACTCCTCCATACCATCAGCAAATAGTTTTTCAAGAAGAATTTCTTGGCCAAGCACTCAAACGCCTGTAATTCCAGGACTTTGGGAGGCTGAGACAGGAGGATTGCTGGAGCCCAGGAGTCTGAGGCTGTAGTGACCTATGACTGCACCAACCACTGCACTCCAACCTGGGCAACAGAACAAGACCCTGTCTCTTAAAAAAAAAAAAAAAGAATTTCTTAAGTTTGGGTGCAGCTATAAAGGGGTAGTAGAGGGAGTGATTGTGGCAGTAGTTACACACATCTGTACATAAGATAACGTGGCATAGAGCTGTACATACACACATGCGAGTGCATGTACGAGAGGTGAAATCTGAGTAAGTTCTGTCTTCTAGTTACCAGTGCTGCACCAGTGTCACTTTCCTGGTTCTGATGTTGTGCTATAGCCACGTGGGATGTCCTCAGTCAGAGGAAGCTGGGTGATAGGCATATAGGGCTGTCTGCACTAGTTTTGCAACTTTCTGTGAGAATATATTTGAAATATATACTTATTTATAAGTGCCAAGCACTTACGTTAGTCTGTCCCTGCTGCTTCATTTTCTCTCCAGGCTCCACCTCTCACCACCCACACCTTCGCAGTCTGGTTTCCTACCCCTCATTCTACTGCCCTGCCCAGGACAGCCTCCCAACTCCCCGTCCCATGAACATTCCAGACAGGCCCCCACTGGTCCTCCTCCCTTCCATATACTCAGGTCAACATCTCGCCAGTGCTCAGCAAGCCCTACCACTCTCCTTTTCCGTCACTTCTCAATCCAGACATGCTAAAATGAAGACATTGACCTGGATTAGGAGCAAGCTGAAAATTCACAGACTCCCAAATGAACATGGCCAGAACCAGCCTTAGGCAAAATCACCCCTGGCCTCTCATTTCCCCATCTCCCAACACCTCCCACATTCCTTTATGCTGCCTAATATAAATAAGTCATTCTGGGTAAATAAGACTCATCTAGCACTTCCAGCTCCCCACTTTTGATTAGAGTCAACAGTTCTGGGATGGCGTGGGGAATGCTACTTTTAACTTGTTTCTCAAGTGGGTGGTTCTGATGAATGGCCAATATAAGGGATGAGTATTTGTGGATAAACAGAATTTCTGTCCAAGTCACCTTCATGGACTCCCATGGCCCCTTCCAAAGCCCCTGTATATTTTTTATATTTATAATTTTATATACATTTTTAAAGCAGGTCCTCCATACTGTGAAAACCTCAGGCTGCCAAAAAACCCTAATTTGCTGCTGACGTGGGCCCTGGCTTAGGTGTCATTCCCAGAATGGGACACAGTCACACGAAGAGCAAAATTTGTTTGGAGGCGTCCCCACCTCCCTGCTGTCATTCCACACCCTCCCTGCCAAGGTCAGAGGACCCTTCAAGACCCACAGCCCCCCATCGCGTTGCTGCACCCATCTCGGCTGCCCCGCCCAAACCTGCTGGGGCGAAATCCTCCCTCAATACCTCTTAGTCTGGTTTTAAGCAATCTGACCTGCAGAACCAGATAATCCCACAGCTGCTTAGGGCAAGGAGGGTGCAGCACGTTAGAGTTGCTTAATCTCCCTAAGATCCGGGCTCTAGGATAAAACCAGAAACGTGGGATGGCTCGGAGTCACCCCCAATTGTTTGCCCTTCACATACCCTTCTTTGCAGCCCTGACATCTCTTATGGGTCTCAAAATAATTCTTACTTCATTTAGCTAACACATTTTATCGAGCACCAGGTGTTCAGAAATCATCTAGACCGACGCAGCTTCTGCCCTCGGCTGGTGTGGGAGACGGCCAGTGAAGTGACAAACAGAGCAAGTGGCGGGCGAGGGCTGTGCTGGGGGCACAGGGAAGGGCCCAGAAGCAGGGCTTGGGGAGGGAAGGAAGAGAGGAGGGTTGAGTAGGAGTGTTCGGGGCAAACCAAAGGCTTGAGGTCAGCAGCACGTGGCCAGAGGCAAGAGAATATAGTTGCTTGTGAAAAACTGAAAGAAGTTTATCCTGAGAGATGTAAAGAGTTGGAGGTGGAAGGATGTGACAAGAAATGAAGGAAAAATAAGCAATGAGATCTGTGAAGCAAAGGACCAGATCTGGCTCTGATATCACCTTCCCTGCCTGCCACAGAGGGACACAGTAACTCATTGACGAATGACCAGATTCCAATACAAACTCCAGGTTCAACCTTACACGTTGGCTGCCCTGTTTAGTCTCAGGGAAACTTCTGGATATACTGTAGGGCTGTGTTTCAGGCAGGCACTGAGAAAGCTCTTCCACATAAAGGATCAAAAAAGCAAACTTCTGATGTATTGTTTGTATTTGACCTAAGTAGGGTTGGTGGATTTAGCATATAAAAATACCATACACCCAGTTAGATTTGAATTTAAATGCATAAGACATACTTACACTTAAATATCATTTGATCCTTATCTGAAATTCAAATTTAACCAAGAGTCCTATATTTTATGTGACAACCGTACCTAATTATGAACTTGAGGATGAGTGGGCAGAACATGGAAGAAACTGAGTCAGGCAGTTCTAGTGGGGGCAGAGAGAGGGGGCACTGAACTAGCTGTGGGGGGTACAGAGGGCAAAACCACATCACAGAGTTGTTTTAAGGTCTGACAAAGTTAAAAGTGACCTCCATCTTTGAGCCAGACAGCAGAAATGTCTTTACTTGGAAATTTTAGGACCAAAAGCAGAACTGAAGGATTTCCTGGCCTTTTATGCTCTATTCAGTGGGGCCCTTTCTCTAAGGGATGACCTACATTACTTTGAGCCCTTCCCAGAGCAGTCGTGAGCTCAGGCTGGGGACAAAAGACCAGAGCAGGGCGATGTGCAGCCCCTCTGGGCCGCGGCAGAGAATTTCTCAGCTCTTTGCTCTGAACCTGTATTACCTCTTCACGGGCAGCAATTTCCAAGACAAAAATCAGTCTTAACCTCCACCCAAGCCAGTCATAACCTCCCCCCACGAAATCCTTTTTAAACTTCACCCAGAAAAAAGTTCTAAGCAAATTCTTGTAGATTCTTACAGAACCTAAAGCAGGGGATTTACATAAGTTATTTGTTCCCTCTTTGTGAAAATATGCAAATATCTTATAGGAAAAAAGTACACAGTGGCTGTTGACATTACTGGTTCAGGAGCCACGGTTATTAAACTAATATTCTCTAATCCCATAAGAAGGTAAAAGCATCACATTGCCGTGCCAGGGAAAGTTAAGCCTGGGAGGTGGGGCAGGGATTTTTTCCTAAGTCTTTTTTTCTAAGCACACAAACCACCTCCCACCACCTCTAAAGCAATAATGTTACACAAATATCCGTATAGTTCACTGCAGAGACGTTATAATATCTTTGATTACAAGGTGCTGCCCTAGACCCACTGGGAGTGCTATATTATTACCTTCCCAAAATCTGGTACATTTTTAATTTAGAAATGCACCTGGACCTGAGGTTTTCAGATAAAGCACTGTGTCTGTAAGGATTTCTTCTCACCTTTCATCATGAGCTCATTTATAAGCAAAAAGCTGAACAATCTCTCTAAGCAAGAAACTGGCCAACTTGGTACAAGACTCAAGAAGATGTGTGACTCGTTATCAGTATGCGGGGGCCGGGGGTGGCGGAGAATGTAAAACCAAAGCCGCCTGGGCTTCTTTGACTCCCTTTTCCTTGACTCCCTTCCTTCAAGTCCGTCTCACGGGCACGAAATATGCCTGTGGAGAAGGAGGCTGCGGTGCCTGCACGGTGATGGTGTCACGATACAACGCCAAGACCAAGACCATCCAGTATCCTTCGTGTGGGGCTGGCCCCTGCTCTGGCACACCTGGGGTGGGCGTAGCGCCTCCCTCCTCTCCTCCCCTCCTCTCTCCAGGCGTCTCAAGCATTCTCGCTGCCTCTAGGCCTGCTCTCCCCCAACTTCCTAAACTCCAGATCTTCCCACAGACCCTCTGCCCATCGCCCATCGGAACCTATCATCCCGCCTGCCAGTCTCTCAGGGCTCTGCTCTATTGCTGTAAAAATACTTCCTTTGCTTTTGAGTCGGAGATTTCAGGGTAAGGGTCAGGTGAGAATGGCTTAATGCAGGAAGCAATAATCCTAGTGGAAGATTCATGTCTTCCAACAACACTAAGAAGAGTTGTTTGCCTGGAGGGGCTAAATGAGACCTTAAATCACCCTACAGGATTGAGCCACCATCTCCTTGACCTAAAAATGTAGATTTGCTCACTGACTGAATGCGGTGGTGAAGGAGGAGCTGTCTAGGATGATTTTCAAGTTTTTGCCTTAGGGGCCTGGGCGGTATGGTTTACAAATTAGGGAACTTGGAAGAGGAGCAGCAGAGGAGGGGAAAGTGGTTAGTTTAGCTGTGGGGAAACTATGGGACACCCAAGAGGGACTGTCCACCAGGCATCTAGATAGACAGGTCTGTTAGTTAAGAGAAGAGGTCTCATCTCAAGCTATAACTTACTGGAAGTTATCAACATAAATAATAACAATGATAATAAAAAATAACGTTTATTGAATGTTTCTTGTGTACCAGGTACTGTTCAAAGTAGCTCACACATACTGTTATATTTCACCCCCCTAAACAACTTTTAGATAAGCATTACTATCACTTACAATTTTAAAAAGAGGAAACTGAGGCAAGTTAAGCAACTTGCATGAGGTTTCATGGGCCAAGTAGTGGCAAAGGCAGGTTTTCAGCCAGGCCAGCTGGAAGGTGGCAGGAGCTATGAGAGAGCACGTAAGTGCAGGACACTGTAGAGCAGCAGAAGGGGATGTGGGCAAAGAAAGGAGCCCCACAGAAGAGCCCAACAGGGAGTGGCCAGAGACGGAGGAGGAACTTCGAGGAGAAAGTTCCAAGACAGTAGAAATGGTCACTAGTGTGTAATGCCAAGGAGTGACCCAGGGCCACTAGAGTGCTCCCAGAGCAGTGTCGGCAGAAAGACGGGGCTGGCCATATGTGGTGCTGTCAGTCTGGGAGCGAGTGAGGAAGAGGAGGCTGTCGACAGCTCGTGAAGAAACTTGACTAAGGAAGGAGAGGAAGTCGGGCCATCGGTTTTTGGATTTTTTTAGTATGGCAAACCCTTGAATTTATTTCTAAGTGTGAGGGAATTCAGGGAAGTGAGAGGCTATTATAGAAAGGAAGAGGGTGGGGGATTGTTGATGATGGGACAAGTCCACTCGGAGGCAAGAGAGGGTGGCATCTGGAGCACTGCAGGGAGCAGGCAGGATTCCGCACCCTCTGAGCCTGGGTGGAGGTGAGACATTGCAGACATAAATGAGGGGTCACAGGCTGCGGGGTGCAGGGAACCCATGCCTCTGTTCCCTGGCTTAGGCACGTGGGCAAGGCCGAGGGGAGCCATGAGCACCGAGGAGAGTTGCTGAGGTAAAAAGGAGAGGGGTAAGATCAAAAGGGAGCAAACCTAAGGGGGAGTGAATTGCAGAGCATGAAAGTGAAGAACAAAACTGTACCTCTTGCATGTGGTCACCTGGGGCCTGCCCTACATCTGTACGCCAAACACTCTTCCAAAGTCCCTCGCTGGTCAGCTGGGTGGCTTCAGCACTCTAACTGTTCTTCAGAAGAGCCACATTCATGCTCTCAGCCTGGGGAGGAGAGGAGAGGAAATATTCCCCAGGGAAGGGACAATGTCCCATACCTGAAAGAAGAATGAAACTTTGCTGGAGTGGGAATCTGGACCCCATTCCCAACTGGTGACATGAGAACCTGGTGCTAACCAGATCTGCCACATCATTGACACAGACACTAGCATGGGAGACAGTCAAGACAAGGGCACAAAACCCAGAGACTCTCACACTGGCCTGTGCTGGAATCTTATGAGGAGCTCCAAAAAGTGACTCACTGATCCCACCCAGATGTTCTGATTTAACTGGCCTAGGGTACCAGCAGAGTATCTGTATTTTTAAAAGTTTTCCATGATCAAGAATCACAGGGCAAAACTACCCACGGTTTCCTTATCTCTTTCCCTAGAATGAGAAAACAAAATGAACAATGAGGGTCTCTTGGAGGTCCCACACACAAAAGTCTTCATTATTCATTTTTTCTGTTTCTTTCTATCATTCCGCACAAGCCATATATAAGTCCTTTCTTGGGACTCCCAGAAATTTATGGTTTTATATCTAGTCTGCTCTGTATTCTCAGAGAAATACAGTCTCACGACTCTCCTGAAATAACTGCTCCAACTCCCTGAACTGTGTTGCCCTCTCCCCATGATTCCAATGTGTTCTCTTTACCTGATTCCATCACAGCCATTTTCCAGCTACCACGTGCCTGGTGCCCATCTGCTCTCTGCATGGGGCTGCTGTCACCACGGTGGAAGGTGTAGGAAGCATCAAAACCAGGATTCACCCAGTGCAGGTAAGAGCGGAAGGTGGTCTGGACCAGATGTTGGCATCCCGCATAGGGACGCACTCCACTTAGGTCGCCAACTTCGAACTCCTTTGTGTTTTTAAATTCTCATTTTGTAAGGCTTGGCCTCATAGCTAGGGATATGTTCAGAGATCTTTTCAAGGTTCTCTCATTGATTTTAATATATCTTAACCCCAAGAGACCTTTTCAGCCCCATCCTTGCCCTAAACTAAAACAAGAACAATTCAGTCTGACAAGAGAAGAAAATGAGACAGGAAGTCAGACGTTTATAAAAGATACTAGTTGTCTGCTCCATTTCAGAATTACTTAACTCTGATGGAGAGGCGAATTATGTGTACAAATACTCCCCCAAATGCTTTCCAAGTGTCTAACAAGTAACCATATGCTATACTACAATAAAACTCAAGTAAAATAAGTGTTTACTAAAGTTTAGGGGACTTTTTAAAGAAATGACAATGTTATTTTTGTATCCTAGAATAGGAACTTCTGCAGGGGTTGAGTTTTAAAGGCCGTGTATAGAAAGGAAATTATGAATAGCTATATTTTCCCTCGAGATTCCTTGTCTCTGAAGGCTATTGTTGGAACAGAGAGCCAAGAGCTTTCTCTGACAATGTGTTACCTTTGATGGGTATTCATTGATAATGGAAGATATTAATTAACTCATTTTACTCTCTAGGTCCTGGTTTCTTTGTGAAATAAAAAGTGTAATTTAGAGGAAAAAGCAAAATGCTCTGGAGTCACGCTCATGGGAGTTTACTGCAATTCATTAATTGTGTGATCCTGAGTGACTTTTTGACTTTTCTTCGTCTTTAAAATTAGGATGGTAACAGTGTCTATTTTACAGGATGGTGGTGAGAGTAAATGAATAGTTTTTATCAGCCATAATTTACTGACTTCCTCTTCCCATTAAGCTCTCACTCCACACTTGGCTCATCACCTTCGCAGGTGTGAAAGCACTTCAAGCTGCACTTGTCAGATTTCTTTCTCTCCGATCTTGATAGTGCAGATGCTAGATTTGTTCAGTAGTGCCCTAGAATAGGCTTGTGCTGGCTTGTGAAAACTGATCATTAAATTTTCAGGAATTGTGCAAGCCAGCCTTTAAACACAGCCATTATTAAAAATTAAACTTTAACGATTCAATAATTTATAAAATAATACTAGCCATGGTGGAAGTATTTATACTAGGAAAATTGGCAGACGTAGGAATCAGGGCTTTATTTTTCTCCCAGACTACTAGTTGTTAAAACATCCACCAGCACTTTTACAGCCAGGTTTCTATGCCACACCTGAAACAACTCGCCACTTAGCAGTACATCTGACACGCCGTATTTCCCTCCAACATTCAAACAGTGTCCTTTCAGTCGAGCCACAGACGAAGTATTTGGCTCTCATTTTAGGAGCCATGCTGTTTGAAAAATGTTTATTTGAAAACATTTGAATCACACTCAAGCCAGCCAGTTGAGCACCCTGTGAGAGGCATAGGACTGACACGCACAGAGGGACACACAATCCTGTCCCCTGTCTGTATCTGCATGGCATAGGCCCTTTGTATAGAGTAGACACAGTAAATTGTCATTTCTCATCCTGTTTTTTATTATGTTTGTTTTGTTGTTTTATTTGAGTGTATAAAGTTTTATGTGCATAAATTAAATATGTGATTAGCACAATACTACTAAATAGCACTTTACAATTTTCAAAGCATTCATTTAGATTGTGTCATTTAAGCCATCAAAAATTCTATAATATGGGTGGAGAGGGGGTGAAAATGACTTGCCAGAGAATATGCTAAATGATTTGCAAACATTCATTCGTTTGTTCTCATAACCATCCTGAAAAATAGATACCATTATCAGCCTGGTTTTAAAGATGAGGAGAAGACAAGTGAGTCACCCAAGGTCACTCAATTAATGAGTTGTAGTAAGGACCAAAACTCACATGAGCATGACTCCAGAGCATTTTACTCTAAACTATTCCACAGATAAAGAGACCAGGATCTAGAGAGTAAAGTGATTTAATTACTACCTGCCAGTAGGCTTTTCTTGAGGGCAAAAATCATATGCATATGATTTTAAGAAATAAAAGTGTTTTTCTTCCCGGGGACATATTTATCCTGAAATTATTTCTGGAAAGCTAAATGTATAAGCACCACTGCTCTCTGGTGTCCAAGGTGGGAAAGCAAAAGAGGTTTAAAGCATAAATGATGTACGGTCTCCCAGGAAAGACTTGCCAAGTGCCATGGCATGCAGTGTGGATTCTGCAGCCCGGGGATGGTGATGTCCATCTACACCCTGCTAAGGAACCACCCAGAGCCGACCCCTGAGCAGATAACTGAAGCTCTTGGAGGTGAGCCTTCTTGGCCCTCTGCGGGCAGGGCCCAGGTTAGAAAGTGCTCAAGTAACTAGAGAAGGCAGTCCCAGCCCACCGATAGAACCTGTGGCACAGGTTTGGGGCTCCAGGTACCTGACCAACAGGTAGGCTTCCTTAGTACCTGCTTTGAGTCAAGTCCTTTCCAGAAAAGGCTGTCTTTGTTTTGATAGCAATGATGCCAGGAATTGAGGTAATATTGGTTTCATTACAAAACTTTTTCCCTTAGTGGAGCCCTTTGTCACTCTTCAAAGGCATTGAAATGGGCTGTTTCTAACACTTTTAATACAATCTTTTCCAAATGTAGAAATTTGGGTAATATGGAAGAATTAGATTTTACTGTTTGTTTTTTAATTAATCTGTTAGAATCATTTATTAACTTTACTTACTAAAATTAATTTTGCAAAGAGAAAAGACCCTCAGATACTTTACATTTGTATGTTCTGGTTGGGTTCATTATATGTAATAAGATAGGGGAGATCATAGACAATAATTAGTTATCACAGATAAGCTTAGTGAGCAACTCAATCTCCTATGACAAAATGGTTATCAGATTTAAATTAACACAGCTTTCTACCAGAAAAAGCACATTAACAAATATAATTTTCTGTGACAAGTGTACCTAGTTTCAAGGTAACTCATCACCAGTTAGAAAAAAGTTGTTAAAGCAAACCTCTGAATAATATAGGAAAGCTCTTTGCCCCTTTCAATAGACAGATCTAGACAGAGACTCAATTTTATGATGAAAAGATGCAGAATAAAACTAAGTAAAAATTTGACTTGTATTACTATAACTGGTATGTAAATATTCTCTAATATTTTCCCTTATCACTCAGCAACTTCTTTGCTCAAAATTTTTTGGTTTCTCATTAAGTACGATTAAAACTTTGGCCTGTGGTTTTAGTTATAACTTTAACCGAATCTGAATGTTTTTGAATAATGGATAATCTTTGCTCAGTAATGTAACCCACACTAATGAGGTATTTAGAGCTCTGAAAAGCAGGGATCTTATAATTTGCCATACTTCTTGTTTGTTTGAATATGGACAGGCAATCTTACAGAGATGGATTATTTTCTTCCAGATTCTATCCTGTAACTCACATAACAACTGTCAAAAGATGGTGTTGTCAAGTTTGGCTAAATGGATGAAGTAGATTACCTCATTCTAGGTGTAAATAACTTGAAGAGTATATTTTGGTACCCAATCCATTTACTTGTTCTCTTTCTAGAATTATAAATGTTAGCCACACTGATAACCTTCATGTTCATAATATTTCAAGAAAAACAATAGTATTAACAATATAAAATAAAGTTCAAAGAAATATAATTAGTGTAAGCATATAACTTCTTAAATACTCAACGGTTATCAATCATTACCACACTTAATCTCGTCTCTTCCCTTCAAGGCTAAGGGAATACAATAAAATTTTTGAATTTCTTTTTTTTTTTTTCCTTAGAATCAGAAGAATTTCTGTAATGGATACAATTACCTTTCCTTTGGTAGGTCTTTAGTGGGGCTTGTAGATTTAGCACTGACTATGTGGCTAAGAACAAAAACAAAACAAAAGCCCTGACGCTGGCTCACACTAGCCTTTACTGTTTGCTTACGGTTTCATTGCCTCCTAAATGCTTCCATTTCATGACATTCTAGACATTGCCGTTCCTTCCTCTGCTCTAAAGAAGAATTCTAAATTCACACCCTTCTGTGTTTTTTCTTCTTAGCAAAAAGGAAAGATAGATTATGGTGTTAGCAGCCATTCATATGCATGCAGTTTTTTCCTAAATTATTCTCATTCTAATTGAAAAAAAAAGGGAGTCTACCTGTTACCCAAGTTTCCACATGACTTACTGGCACCAAGTTTACACAACACTTTACTTATAGGTGTTTAAATCTGTTTAATCCTCACACATACGTTGTTTCTGAAATTTTTAAACTGTAATTGAACATAGTTTTACATTTACTATTTAGTATAAAAATAATTAAAAATTAAGAAAAATGTCGAAAAAATTGAATGACAAGGAAAAACTCATTCATAATTCTGCCACCAAGAGACAACCACTGTCAAATACTTTTGTATTCTTTCAATCTTTTTTGTGCATAAGTTTTGTTTGCTTATTTTAAATGCTTGTGACCATTTTATAATATATATAATTTTAAATTGTATGAACAATTTTAATGGTATAACATGAGAATTTTGCCATGTTACTAAAACCTCTCCATCAATATCATTTATACTGGCTGCAAAATTTGAATATACTTTTTTAAAAGACAATGGTTTCCCTCACCTTTTCCACCGTACTTTGGATTTGTTGACTGATTAAAACAATACCAGGTACTTACTGAACATCAACTGTGCTGTTCTGGTGGGGGTTCAATAACACCTAAGTCAAGCCTTGCCTTCTCCAGAAGCTTGAGATCCAATGAGGGAGACACACATAAATACATACACAAGTGACCCTGCTCCAGCAGCTGACGATAGGTCGTCAGAAGGATCCAGACAGTCAGAGGTACAGCTCTGGCTGGGGGGTTACAGCAGACCTCATGCAGAAGGAGGATTGGGGTCTTGAAGAATGGCCCCAGTTCCTCTTCCCGTAAGAGGGCATTTGAAAGAGGAGAGGTTGCATGAGAAAGGCTTGATGATGCGCCACACATGAGACATTATGGGAGTGGCAGGTACACGAGTTAGGATAGGGGCAGGAAATAAGGCAGGAAGGAAAAAAAAAAAAAACCTTTGTGGTATTTCAGTAAGAAAATGTAATCACAAGATCTATTCTTCACTTGATCTTAGCCAAAAGACCAGGAAGTGATACCAGGTCTATTCTTGAAGAATGTCTCCAAGGGGAACATTTGTTCCAAAGAACAATCTTGCTGGTTTTAGGTAACAAAGAAGCTAATGACTAATACAGTTATTCCATTGAAAACATGAAGCACAGATATGCAATATATTTCTATGTTATTTCTTAAAACTTGATTCCTTCTTAATCAGGTAATTTGTGCCGCTGCACTGGATACCGACCAATTGTAGAAAGTGGAAAAACTTTCTGTGCGGTAAGTTTTTTAAAAAGAATATTAATTCTGTTAACTTAATATATGAATGAACCTTTGCATAAAATAATCCTTGCACTCAATAATCTCTAAAGTAACCTCACATTGACCTTTGTAACCACTGAAGGTTGTTAAATGCCCTCTGTTGGTATTTTTTTAAATAAACCCTTAGCATTTATCTTGTTTATAGCCCTAAATTTGTCACTTTCCTGAAAAGTATAGGATATTGTCCCTGACTTCAAGAAATGCATACTCTATTGAAGAAAATAGAACACAGAAACAATAAAAAAGTAATTGAAAAGCAACATATTAAAATGTCAATATGTCCGTATACCATGCGTATAAATTTCAAAGAAACATGGATTAAAGAGAGTTAATGAATGGGAAGAAGGAGACATAGAGGACTTATTGGAGAAGGGGAGTTTTGAGCTTGGTCCTAAAGGAAATGATAAAAGTGAATGCCTGAAGAGAAGCCAGTAGAAAATTCCAAGTAAGAAAATGCATGGAAGTAGGAAAAAGAAAGCTGTCCAAGATTCAAGTAAGAAATTGATGTGACTGAACCATTGGAGAGTAAAAAGATACTGTTTGGGGCTGAGGAATTTAGACTTAAAGCTGATAACCACATGCAGTCATTGTCTGTTTTCCAGCCAGGGGTAACACAATGAGAGGAGTATTTCAGAAGGAAAATTCTCAGCACTTGGTGGTAGGAAGTACAAGCCTGGGAAGATGTGGTGGGGAGAGAAGGCATGGACTAGTGCAGTAGCCCAGGCATGAGGAATGACTACGTAGGCGAGTGTGGCATATGCAGGGACAGAAAGATAACTTTCCAGAAGGAGATTGCCAGAGTCATAACCCCAGACAGCAAAGGGTGTGGAGAGAAAGGAATCCAAGTCACCTGCAAAGTTGAGAGACCCAGGAACAAAACAGGACAAAGACTGTTAGAAAAAAATGATTTAGTGTATGCAGGGGATGGGGGCAGGTAGTTTTGAAACACACTATTTTCAGAAAATTAAATGTCAAGAGAAGATATATTTTTGAGAAGGTTTCAGTTAGGGTGTTTTTCCAGCACCTTTTATGGTAAAAATTAATTTTATATAATTTTTCTTGATCAAAAACTACTCAAGTTACATCAGTTCTTTCAAAGTACTGTAAAGTGTTTGAAAAGATGTATTTTTATGCCAGTCATGAAGAACTTCACGAAATTTTACAAACTACAGGATGGTTTAACTTAAATAAAGTCCTCGGTAAGGTACTACTTATTTTGAACCATATGAATGGCCAATATCCTGCCATTTTTGACCTACAAAAACAGCAACATCTTCATATGATTCAACCTAAAACTACGTGATTATTTTCCTTGAGGCAGTATACAAAGATGTAAATTAACGATAGATATTTTTACTCTCATTCACACTGGATCTCCACATTGAACCACTTATTACACTTATTATAGTTCCTTTATTGTGCAATTTAGATTGTCCCAAAATCCAAATCCCTTCTTTACTCTGTAGAAAATGACCTTACAAGTAAAAATATCAGCTGCCACCTTGGCAGCATTTCTTAAGTCTCAGACACTGTGTTGAACTTTCCTCATATTTAAAATCTAATGAACGTGTTTGGGATGGATTTTATTATCCTATTATCCTAATTTAACAAGCTTAAGCCAGCTCACATGTGGGAAAGCAGGAACTAGAACCCAGGTTCCCTTGACTCCGTGTGCAAAGCACAGTGTCTCCAAACGGCCACAGACCCTCGCACATTGAAAAGGGCAAACACGGATACTTAGTCTGATAGTTACAGTAACTGACAAATGGATCCAGGCCAAAACCACTATTTTGGGTCTTCATGAAATGTCCTGAAAATTAAGGTTAAATGATTTGGGCTTGAATCATCCGAATAGTTCGGAACAACATCCAGATAAACTCAGGTTTTCAGTTTATTTATATCTGTGTATAGAAAGTCTTAAAGGCAGTTTGTCTTCCCAGGACTTGATTCAAGATACGTGCTATCACACAGTTAAGATAAGAGCAGTCTGTTTGGGTTTTTTAAATCACCACCTTATAACTCCACGCCTTTATCTCACTTCCAGTAGGAGGCCTTGGCTGGCGGGGCTCTCCCCACCTCTCCCTCCTCTGTCCTCCCCTGCGACTTGAGTGACACATCTGCAAGCCTCTGTCATGAGCGTGGTTGTACACTCCCTGTCATTTTCTCTAATCGCTCAGTGACAGAGTAGCTTGTTACCTGACCTGCCGGGTACCCTGGTAAGTGTTTAAAGAATTAGGAATTTGATTTAAGCTGCATTACTTCCTAAGGAATCGACTGTTTGCCAAGTGAAAGGGTCAGGAAAATGTTGCCTGGATCCAGAAGAGAGGTCTTTTGCAAACAGACAGGAAAAGGTAAGTATCCGCTTTTTCCACTTCATTTGGGATTGACTGAGAAAGACCCACATAGATCCAAATTTATTCCAGGTTTCTATTCTTTGCTGTGAGTGAAGTGTAAAATAAGTGAATACCGGGCGCAAACAGCCTTCAAGAGCTCCAAAGATCATCCAGCCTGTGCCATTCACAAGGCCGATCACCAGAGAAGGCTGTTTTCCTTCGGTACAACTTCCTGTGCCTTCTTCTGGGGTTACCAACTCTCCCCCGACCCCACAAGCACTCTGAGGGACTAAGCAGTGGTGCACTTTCATGTTCACGGCAAAAAAAAAAAATATACAAATAATATCTGAGACTCAGCACAGAAAAATAAAACCCAATTTCTGATGCCAAAGCAAGAAAACCAGAGTCCAGAAAATCTGCCAGGCAAACCATCCCATGGTCTTGGAGGGTGGGAAGAATCCCATTCCGGGGTGCCCTGTGCCTCTCCGTTTTGTGTGGGGTGTCAGAGGTAGAGGCCCTGACTCTGGAGTCTCACACTTAATTTCTGTACCTTTCTCAGTAACTCTGAAGTTCTGTCTGTGTTTTGTTTTGTTTTGTTGAGATATGTACCAAACTGTACAATGAAGATGAATTCCAGCCCTTCGATCCATCCCAGGAGCCTATATTCCCTCCTGAGCTGATAGTAAGAAACTTCACTTTTGTTCTCTCATAATAGGGTGTGGTATATGCCTTTTGTGTTACACTATGGAATTACCTAGTTTTAGACATTGAAAGTTGGAAATGTGTCCAGCACAATCATGGGGCAATAGCCTATGTTTAGGGACCTGTACAGCTGTGCTATAGTCAAAGCGGACAGCTTTGAAGAGTGGGGAGGCCAGGACCTCAGAGATGCTGTCGTTCAACCCCCTCAGCTGAAGATTCTGAGGTCAAAGCATCGGTGACTTGCCCAAGGCCACACAGCGACACTGTGAGATGTTTTAAAGGCATCTTGTAAAACTGGTGAAGTAAGAATCAAATGAATCTTAGAATAATGGAACTGCACTATTCTTATCATTAGTCTCTGTAATTTCAACTCAGTGTGAGAGAAAGAGGGGGAGAAAATAATATAAATAGCATCTATGCCCACTGTGCCATTCCACGACCATGCCCTGGAGAGAGCATGAGGTGAGAGAGATGATTCTCCAGGTTTCTCAGAAGAGGTCAGTCCCCATGTACCCACTGAGTGTGAGAACTTGGACACTCCAAGTGCGAATCTACTATTTAAAAATTATATCTGTGGGCATAGCTATGTACAGATGTAGGTATATATCTATATCTATAGGTATGTGTATATATATCTACAGAGTTGTAAAAAAATCAATTTACACTATACCTGGTGAATGACTTAAGGGATTTTTTTCAAGGAGAATTTTGCCTATATGCAATTGTTGTCCTATAATAAACCCTAATCTCCAAGCTGAGTGTCCTCTGAGTCACTGTTAGGGCAGAACTAGAGCAAGAAGCCTGGCACTGTAATTCCAGGCTGAGCTTTCATTAAACCAAGCTGCTCCCTCTTCACACACTCACTTCACAAACACAAATAGATTTTACTCTACGTCCAGTTGTGAACGGACACCTATCATGATGTTGACTGAGTGGTGCCCACACGGATCTTATCAATCTGGGTGGTCTGAAACAGACCACCATTTCCTGGGCCCTAGAAGTTGAGTCTCTTCAGAAAGCTAAAGTGACCAGCAGGACACTTGGATGCCACAGCAGTCGATATCCTCATGGCTTGTTGTTCAAGAGCCTTGCTTGAAAGCATGTTGGCTTTGTTTCTCCGCAGAGAATGGCAGAAGATCCAAACAAGAGAAAGCTGACATTCCAAGGGGAGAGGACTACCTGGATCAGCCCCGTGACCCTGAACAACCTTCTGGAGCTGAGAACCAATTTCCCCAAAGCCCCGCTTGTCATGGGGAACACTGCAGTGGGTAGGTGGTTGCCACATGTGTTCTTTAGACTAGGTAACCTAAACATGTGTGTCTCTTTTTAAACTCTTCATAAATGAAATTCATTTTTATTAATAATGCCTATGTCCTTTAGAACACTTTATTGTTTTCTTTTGCAAATGAATCATTTAAGTCACAGTTTTCACTCTAGCTTATTAGTATGCAACATTTATTAGTATCCATTGTCTTCCTTTTCTAACTTTTCTAATTAGTTTAAATGCTTTTCGCCTTCAGGACCCAGCATTAAATTCGGAAATGAATTCCATCCAGTTTTCATATCTCCACTTGGGCTTCCAGAATTGCATTTTGTGAATACTACAGATGCTGGTGAGCACTTTCTTGTTCAAATAAGATGTAGCCACTGCATGTTGGTGGACCATTAATAATCAACCACCTACACTGGTTGAATTTGAGCACTTCATAGACTATCTGACTTTGTTTATTCATTCAAAGCTATTTATTGAGCACCTACTATGTGTCCTCTCTGCACTTTCTCAAACCGATCCCCTCAGCTGTGTCACTGAGTACTACATTGCCATAGGAGCCACAAGGGCGGGAAGATGCCACAAAGGTCAGCCAGGGATGGAGGGATTGAAGAAATAGGAACATGTAAGACATTTGCTGGCCAGTAGGAAAGGTTCTTGCCACACGTTACTCCCTCATTCACAAATCTGCTTGAGGCTAATGCCACACTCACACACACACACACACACACACACACACACACACACACACACACACACAAAGTCTTCGCCACAAGATTTGAAATGTAGCTGCGAACAACAATCTGATTTTTGCAGTCTTTTCACAATTTACCATGTGCTTTCACATCTCTTATCTTGTGATCTTCAAAACCACCCTGGGAGGTAGACTTAGCTAGTAACCTTGGTATCTCTCTTATCCTACAGGAGACACAGAATCAAAGGGCTTAGGCAACTTCCCTAAGACCATGCAGCTGTCAGCTAAGTCAGGACTAGGTCCTAGGTCTCCTCCCTCCTTCCTCCTGCCACATAGTGCACCGAATAAGGCTTATCTCACCAGCCACTACCCACACTAAGCCTTTGAATGGATCACAGTCTTAAACCCCTATAAAGTAGAGTTCTCCCAATGAGCAAACAGAAATCAAGTGGATAATTGATTGCTAACCTCTTTGACCTGCCAATCTTAAGTCAGTCTGCTCGTTCATTTTGTTTACCCCCGTTGGAAAATCTACATCAACAGATTGGCAGGAAGAGATGGAGCAAGAGGAGGCCAGCCACGTACAGGAGACGGCGGGCAGGGCGGTGTGTGGGGTATTCGGTTAGGGTGTGATGGGGTAGAGGGACAGGGGTGGGTGGAGCCTACAGAACCAGATCAGTGTTTCTCACTCTTTTCTTCATTACCGCCCCTCTAAGGAGCAATGGACGTGGTTTCCCTAATCATCCCTCCCTGAAGTTTTAATACAACAGATTAACAGTGTATCTGTTTATGTACAGAATGTGTATTGGTGCTTTACATATCTATATATATAAAGAGTAAGATTTTTTTCATTCCCTTGGAGGCAGTATTGCCTCCAGTGAGAACGCATGAGGTAGATGACATCACTACTGAAATCATGGCACACCTACAAATGAAACTGACCCGAGGTACAGGCATGTGTCTGTTCTTCTTATCTTTTTGATAAGAGACCAATAGGAAGAAATGGTGGGAAAGAAAGGCAGATATGCAAGACACATTTTGCAAGTCAATTTCCTCTTAGGTTTAATTATCTTTAAAAAATATTATAGGACCATGGCTGGAATTTTCATATTTGATCAATTTATTCAGGAAAACTCAACTGGGAATAAATGAAGTAATGAGCACCAGATATCTGTGGTTGATACATGCTAAAATGTATGGCATGTATGTCTATCTACATGACTGACAAAAAGGATTTGGTACTCAGCATTTGAGAATAAAATAAATTGCCAGAAATATCTTCAATTATCTTTGGTTTCTGTCATTCTAAGTAAGTATGAAAAGAGAAGATATATTTAAAAGACAGTTTCCATGCAACCCTATCTTGTTCCAGTTCCCTGTAAGTTCATGGCCTACTACTCTATTTTCAGGGGTGACAATAGGTGCAGGATACAGCCTGGCCCAGCTGAACGATGCCTTATGCCTTATCATTTCGGAGCAACCGAAGGAGAAGACTAAGACCTGTCGAGCTCTCCTGAAGCACCTGAGGACACTTGCAGGAGCCCAGATTAGGAATATGGCCGTATGTTCTCTGTTGTTTTGTAAAATAAGCCACGGTTATAGGCAGTCACACAGTTCTGTTCAGTTTCACAAACATTACTCTGAAGAGAAATCCAAAGTCAATGTTGAACGTGTCTGTACAATATGAGTGTGAATGTGTGTGTGCCCAAAGTGAGATATATCACGTGTGTGTATGTGTGCGTCTAAAGTGAGAGGTTTCATGTTGTGTGTCTATGTGTGTGTCCAAGGAGAGTGACACATGAGACATTAGGATTATGGTACTGGAGTCAGAAGATCCTGGACAAGCCACCTGTACCCCTTTAAGCCACTGTTTCTTCATTTTAAAAATTAAGATTCAGGATAAGAGGAGATGTTAGTCAAAGGGTACGAAGTCGTAGTTGGACAGGAGGAATAAGTTTTAGTGATCTAGTGCACAACATGGTAACCACAGTTGATAATAATGTGCTATATATTTCAAAATTGCTGAAAGAGTAGATTTTAAATATTCTCGCCACAAAAAAATGATAAGTATGTGAGGTGATGGGTATGTTAATTGGCTTCAGTTAATCATTCCATAATATAAACATGTATCATAACGTCACATTATACCCCACGAATATATACAATTATTTGTCAATTTAGAATTTTAAAAATAAAAGTAAAAACTATGGAGAAAAAACACACACAAAAAATAAAATTCCACCCAATGGACTGTCTCTAAGGTCCTGCCCAGCTCTAACAATTTTTGAAATATGTCTTATCCACAGAATAATAAACAAAACTTACATTTCCAAAATATGCTTTAATGGCTGATTCGCCTCTTAGAACTTTGCATCAAGGTCAAATTCCAGCCATGTGTATCCCACATACCCATCCTTGGATGCCCTCAGTTGTCTAGCTTATTGGGGTTTCCTTATTATTTAAGATTTAAGAACACTTGATTCTAACCCCTCCTCATTCCATGCATGCTGGACAGTTCAGCGGGATCTGGGGCCCAGGGGACGCATCATTTCTCCTGATTGTCCCTGGCCCTGCTGCTGACTCTCAAAACCCACTGTGTATTTTCACCTTCTGCATCTTCTCTTTCTTTTTGGAGCCATGCCGCTCCTCTCCCCATCAACTTTCCCCTTAAATCCTCCTGAGGCCCCTGTTTCAGATGACGTGTGGAGCAGCCTTTCCAGAAGGCCTGAGGAAACAGCCTCGTCCACACCTGCTGTGGCACAGCAGGTGTTTTGGATGTGATAACCCATCCCAGTTCTTTAGGGTTTACTCAGGTCTCTCCACCTCCCCCGTGGTGCTGGGCACTCTTCCCTTTGGCCATACCCACCCTTCTCCCTAACCTGCCTGCACCAGCCCCTAATTCCCGTTCATTTCCCTTTTTGTCTGTCTTCATAGGCAAACACGCCCATCGAGAAGTGCGTCTAAACAAAGACAAATGTGGCCTAGGGTCAATTCTCAAAGAAACTTTTCCTCCTCATTGCGTGGAAGAGGAATATGTTCCCAAGCTGTAAGTTTGGATGGGATCAGGAGTGGGAATCTTGCACAATATATTGTCCGATAAGGGATGGGAACCTGCTGCCTCAAGGCCACACGTGGCCTCCAGATCCCCAAGTGCGGCCCCTCTACCGAATTCAAACTTCACAGAACAAATCCCTTTATTTAAAGGATTTATTCTGTAAAATTTGGATTCAGTCAAAAGGCCGCAATCAAAGATCCAGAAGGCCACATGTGGCCTATGTGTTTATAACCTCTTATTTGTCAAGTAACTAAGTGTGGCTTTTAAAATGTCATCTTTTCTTATTCAGACTTTAGGGGGACATGTGGTGAGCCGGCCTAATTATTCTGACCTGAACCCTATTTTAGCAGCAGGAAACGCTACCATCAATCTGATATCTAAAGGTAAGACTCTGGAGCCAAGCGTTAGGCATTTTATTCTGTACTTATCACTGTCAGTGATGGAGCTTCTGACGTGAACCAGGGACCCAAGCGCACCTAATTTAGACTCAGGGGTTATGTTTACGTCACCTCATGCCGAAGGGCGAAGCTCTTCTCAATTCTCCTGCTCTCCGGATGGTCTGCATCTCCCAGGTCAGGCGTTTCACTGCACCTGACAAATTCTCTCAAGTATTTGGCCACATTTAGGGGCAAATTGTAGTATGAAAGTACTTGAAGAAAAAATTAATGAGAGATATCTTCATGGTTTTAAAGGTTTATGGCGTATTTCATTGCAGAGTTTCTTTCATAAAGAGGGCAATTTTTATTACAGGACTTTTCATTTTAAACACAATCAAGTTTGTGGGCCATATTATTTCTTTTCTCTTTATTCAAAAACGTCATGAGCTTTGAGGAGGGAAAATGATTTAAACACGAAGAAATAAAAACAAATACATATTATTCATAGGGCTGTTGATGTAAGATACTTTCTCCTTGGTTAAAATTACATTAAAAATATTGTGGCTCAATTAAGAGAGTATAGTAAACTGTTTAAGGAAAAAAAAACAAATATGTATATATATGAGTTTATGCAGCTGTGTGCAACATGACATTCCAGACCACATATACAATGGTAGTCCCATAAGATCATAATGTCGTATTTTTACTATATTTTTTCTATGTTTAGCTATGTCCAGATGCACAAATACGTATGGCTGTGCTGCAGCTGCCTACAATATTCAGTACAGTAACATGCTGTACAGGTTGGTAGCCTGGAGCAACAGGCTGTACGACATAGCCTAGGTGTGTAGTAGGCTATGCCATCTGGGTTTGGGTAAGGACACTCTATGATGTGCACACAACAACGAAAGTACCTAAGGATGCAATTCTTAGAATGTGTCCCCGTCATTAAGTGACATGTGACTATCAGGAATCCCCCCTGTGCCCCTAGATTGAGAACAGCTTCACCCTTAGGTGTGAGGTAATGTAAACATAACATACATACATCTTACATCATGTCGCTGGCTGCATATTCTCCAATCTGATAAACTCATCCTAATCAAGGTCGTTTCTCTAACAGACGGACAACGGCAGATTCTTTTAAATGGCCCTTTCCTTGAGAGATCACCTGAGGCCAACCTGAAATCGGAAGAGATTGTGCTGTCTGTTTCTATTCCCTACTCTACTCAGGTGAGGGCTCCCCAGGGAAGCACCCCCCTACCCCGGCTCTGCGCAGCAAGCCCGCAGACAGGATTCCAGGGGCAATGGTGTCCCCTCTATTTTGAACCAACTGCTTTAGGGAGACTCTTTGGGCTGCTGCACAGGGAGGGACAAATTC